CAACTGGAATCGTAACAATTGTGTCTCACCTGATAGATAGACCCCAAGATATCAGAAATAAGCACCGTCTACCATTGTTTAGCACTTGAAGTAAGACTTTATCTTCTTTCAAATGTGACCTCCACCAAGAGATAAAGATGGCAACTCACCATAAAGTTGGACCTCAAAAGGTCGCTTATTTATAGTAATAAAGCAATCCAGGATAAGAAATAAGTGTTGATCATATACTGCTAGAACTGGAATTCTGTTCCAATATTGCTAATTTTCCCTTGGATGTCACCAAAAAAAAACCCCTCCAACAATACAGTCTAATATATTTTATTAAAAAAATGTAAACACTGAAGAGTGTTTCATCCAAAAACAGACATGCTCAGTGGGCTGTGGGCACTGTCTTACATTGGGATCATTTTACAATAGAAAAGGGGAAGGCAACCTCCCTTAAAGCAGAACTAAACCTATTGATTTAATGGTTTAAAAAAAACAGTTACATTCCAGGCTTTAGTCCTGCTTTAATGGGTGGAGAAATAGCTCAGATGCCTCCATTCAAGCTGCAAGGAGTTCACCCACGATTACTACTACCAGGTCCAATCTAATAGGTAAACATTTTTGGTCCATTGCTATAGGCAATATGAAATACCACATAAACAGTATACATCACTAAACAATAAAACATGTACATTAAGAGACAGACATTGATAACATACAAACATGGGGGGATATTTACTAAAACTGGAGCACTCAGAATCTGGTGCAGCTGTGCATGGTAGCCAATCAGCTTCTAATTTCAGCTTGTTCAAGCTCTGAGAATAAAACCTAGAAGCTGATTGGTTTTTGTGCAGAGCTGCACCAGATTTTGCACACTCCAGTTTTAGTAAATCAACACCATAGAGTCAATATATAGAAGCAAATCAAAATACAGAAGGGCAATCTTGAATCAATACACCTATAACCCAAGACTTCACAATTTAACTTTCATTAACATAATAATTGTTCTTTTATTGGTTATAATTATATCTATTCTGTTGATACACTTATAATAATTGATCTAGCGTTAAAGGCAATCAACTATTTGTTAAAGAATAAGTTCCCCTTTTCACCAGCAAAAAAATAATAAATTCACATTTTTTGCTGGTATAAATATGTGCATTTATTATTTTTGGTTGCAGGAGCCTGTACACTATTGTACCAGCAATCAGCAGATCGGTCAATATATCTGCTTGCCCACACAGCAATTTCCAAAGCTATACCTTGATAGGTAGACAGCTAGAAAACTAAAGTTTATTTCTGGGGACAATACTGCTTTCAATGGGGTAAAACATGTATTTAAAAAAAACAACTTGGTATGTATTAGCTGGCATGCAAAAGCAGGAATAATTTTATTTAGTAATGGCAGTGCACATTGGAGGTTGGGTGTCTGACTGAGCTATTGAAGTCCAGTACACAAACAACTCCCCAAAAGAAATACTTTTTTTGTCACTGTGGCTTAAAGTGTTGAAAAATATATCTGTATGGTATCTGTATATTTGTATGGTATTGGCCACTACAGTAGGGAAGATTATGTTTTGTCAGCAACTGTGTTTTTTTACTGCAAGATAAATTGATATTTTTTGCTGCCAAAGACAGATGAGTAAGCGGATTTCAAGAAGCAAGTACTTGTTATTTTTGCCTCCATTATAATAGAAGATAGCACATGCTTTTTAGACTTAACATGATTATTATATTGTAATTGTCAGTTTACCTCACATCACTAGAGGAGATTAAATGCCTCATTGACCAAACACTAAAGCCCATAGATTATACAATTTTCTTTCCAGCCACTGCTGACTGTGTTGATGGGGGAATCCATCCTGGAGAGCTATTGTGTTCTGCAAGTGGGGAGCCTTCTCTACAGCAGAACTCAATAATCACTGCTGGCTGCTGTAGCTGCCGGCACTGATCACAAGAAAAAATACAGCAGACTGGTTATACTGATTGATGGACCGACTTCAGTACCATCAGCCTGCCCATAGATGGATTGAATATTGGTCGCTTCAGCAAGGACCATCTATGACTGGATATCTAGAGCAGACTTAAGGCTCACCAGACAGCTAACATTTAACATACTTTTTTGCCACCAGTGCCTGAAAGTTTTAAGATATGTATATGCAGATGGTATAATAAATCTAAGCTAGAAAAAAAATTTAGCTGACAATTAAGGTGCACCTTAGGTCAATGTTGGAAGTAAAATATTTTCATTAGATTCTCATGTGACAGGGCTGCTACGAGGTAGTATCAAAAAGTTTTGAGACTAGTTTTGTGACAGACCAACAGATTGCAGCACAAGGCTGCACATACAGTCACAGGGAGCACCAGCCTGTCACAGGTTTATATTTTTTAACAAGTGGGAGGCACATATGCAAGCTGTTGTAATTCCTAAATCGTTCATCTGATTTGGATGTAAATACCCTCAAATTAAAGCTGACAGTCTGCAGTTAAAGCACATCTTGTTTGTTTCATTTCAAATCCATTGTGGTGGTGTATAGAGCCAAAAATGTTAGGATTGTGTCGATGTCCCAATATTTATGGACCTGACTGTATGTATGTGGATATATATATATTGTTTTTTTTTCTCTATATTCTAGCAACATGTGGTAGTATTTAGTCATGAATTGGCTGGCTAGCTTTCCTCCCCTCATCTAAAGTTCCACTAATAAGAGGATTGTAAAAATCTATTGCAAACATGTTAAGCATACAAGATTTATACTGTAAAATTTCTTCATTAGGATATTTATATACGATATAACTTTATATTAAGAAAACGTTTGGGAGAATATATATATTATATTATATTATATTATATATTAGTAACACATCCCATCCCCCCTGACTGATGGAATGTCAGTGGAGTTCTGATTAGAGGTCCCAAGGATTAAATTTCCTGGCCTAGGTGAGAGGGAGCAAGACTGAAGGTTTGTTCAATACATCTGTCACCAGATATCATTGTGGGACTATAAGAAACAGGAAAAACACCCCACTTTTTGGAGAAGGTGGGGGCTGAATTGCTCCTTATAGAGCAGAACAAACTAAATATTTTTTGGACATTATCTAACATTCTGTATTCCAATATTTTTATTTCTAATTTTATGCAATATTATTATTAAATCCATTTTTGAGTCTACGCAAGAGCTGGAAGGACTTCCTATTTTGGACTTTTCTCACCAATATAAGTTAACATAATATCGAGACAATTCGGTATTGTACATACGTCAAACATCTCTGTGGCAGATTTGCCCAGTTTCACACAGAATTTCACATTTGCTCTAACTTGCTATCCATGATAAAATAGCAGACATGGTAGCACACATGGTCAGATTAGCACCAGTTGCACAGTACCCAATGTACACAGGATGATGTCTTTTGGCACACTGACTTATAAAGGTTGTTGCTCCCTGTGAATGTGTGTGCAGCATTTTGTTGCCATATGTTGGCATATTATAAAATTAGTCTCGAAAATTTTTGCTACCAGCTTATATATCACATACAGAACAAGTAGTAGACTAAAATTAAAACTGTAGTAAACCACAGCCTGAGAAAAAAATGTAAATAAACCCCTGGAAGGTAATGTCATAGTGTGCTAGTATGCACCGCTGGACTTACCTTAAAACAAAGCCACCCAGCGGCGCGCTGCCTACATTGCAGAGGCTTCCATCTTCAACCAGTCTTCCTTCTGGGTTCACGAGCTCCGGAAGCATGCGCACAGGAGTCTCAAGACACAGCACAGTGCTCTGAAGGAATAGCACGGATATGCCATTCCTTCAGATTGAATGCATCAGCTGTCAGAAAGAATGAATATCTCCTAAACAGTGCAAGTTTAGGAGATATCCATTTTACCTACAGGTAAGCTCTATTGTAAGCTTACCTGTAGGTAAAAGATACAAAAGTGTGTTTACTTCCACTCTAAAGTGGTGTTAAACTCAAAAAACAAAAATGTAATATATTGCAGATTGCCAATACTTGGATGTGGTGGCTGTTAGTTTTTATTTTTTTTTTATTTTTTTCTCCTTTATTTCATCTTGTAATCCAGCTAGTAACACACTTCCTGTCTTAGGTTGGCCATAAATATATAGTTTTCTTTCATGCAGCCAGAAAGCTGAACGAGAAAAAGAAAAAAAAAGATTCCTTCACTCACACAGTTGAGGTGGATGGAGGATTCCTCCCAACTTAGACATTGTATTCTGACAGTGGGAGCTCTCTGCTGTCAGAATGCACTGATAAGCAGCTGCAGTGTGCTGGCTGCAGCTGCTGATTTGAGAACATTTTTCCAACAAGCCCATTTGACAGAAGTTAAGTATTAGATCCTAGCTGAACGGGCCAAACTTCAATCCATCTATGACCAGCTTTAGGGTGTCTGCATTATAGATGTAGTAGTAAAGTACACACCTTTGGACAGAAGCATTGTCAGTTCTGGCTATTTTCTGGCTGGGAGAAAAGGGTGGTCAGGCAACACATTTAAGGGAGCAGGGAAGTCTGGTGATCCAGAAACTGCAATACCTTATTAATCATACACTGTATCTAAGACATGGCATTATACCTAACATACTATTGCACTAAGATATAATCAAGGAATCCAGACAATTTCTCAAGTATCCTGCATCTTTAGACCTGTTCCCTAATAAGGTTCCCTCTCGAAGGCTGAGGAGTGAGGCAAGGTGAGTTTTTTCACAGCCAGGTTTTAATAATCAGAGGAAGAAGGAAGACAGCCGCTAAGCTCCCCCGTAATGCCAGGTGTGTTTGGTGCCTGCATTCTCCTACTCCATGCTATGCCTTCAAATGTTGACTCTAAAGATCCCAGTGGTATTTCCAGCTGCATCAGAGAGCAAAGTACATACACTATATTGCCAAAAGTATTGGGACACCCCTCCAAATCATTGGATTCAGGTGTTGCAATTAGCTCCATGGCCACAGGTGTATAAAATCAAGCACCCAGACATTCAGACTGCTTCTACAAACATTTCTAAAAAATGGGTCGCTCTCAGGAGCTCAGCAAATTCAAGTGTGGTACCGTGATAGGTTGTCACCAGTGCAATAAGTCCATCCGTGAAATTTCCTTGCTACTAAATATTCCACGGTCAAGTGTTAGTGGTATTATGATAAAGTGGAAGCAACTGGGAACAACAGCAACTCAACCACAAAGTGGCAGGCCACATAAAATAACAGAGCAGGGTCAGCGCATGCTGAAGCACACAGTGCGCAGAAGTCGCCAACTGACTGCAGAGTCAATAGCTAAAGACCTCCACACTTCATGTGGCCTTCAAATTAGCACAACAGCAGTGCATAGAGAGCTTCATGGAATGGGCTTCCATGGCCGAGCAGCTGCATCCAAGCCTTACATCACCAAGTGCAATGCAAAGCGTTGGATGCAATGGTGTAAAACACACCACCACTGGACTCTAGAGCAGTGGAGATGTGTTCTCTAGTGTGACAAATCGTGCTTCTCTGTCTGGCAATCTGATGGACGTATCTGGGTTTGGCGGTCAGCAAGAGAACGATATTTGCCTGACTGCATTGTGCCGAATGTAAAGTTTGGTGGACGGGGATTATGGTGTGGGGTCACGTTTCAGGGATTGGGCTTGGCCCCTTAGTTTCAGAGAAGGGAACTCTTCAGGCATCAGCATACCAAGACATTTTGGGCAATTTCATGCTCCCAACTTTGGGAACCCCTTACTGTTCCAACATGACTGCGCACCAGTGCACAAAGCAAGGTCCAAAAAGACATGTTTGGGGTGGACAAACTTGAGTTTGGGGTGGAGGAACTTGACTGGACTTCACAGTCCTGACCTCAACCCAGTAGAACATCTTTGGGATGAATTAGAGCAAAGGCCTTCTCAACCGACATCACAAATGTGCTTCGGAAGGATGGTCAAACATTCCCATAGACACACTCCTAAACCTTGTGGACAGCCTAATCCAGAAGAGTTGAATCTGTTATGGCTGCAAAGGGTGGGCCAACTCAATATTAAACCCTACAGAATATGACTGGGATGCCATTAAAATTCATGTGTGTGTAAAGGCAAACGTCCCAATACTTTTGGCAATATAGCGTATAGCCTATAGATAAAGTCCCTTTAACTGCACATTCTCTGTAGTCAGCACATAAAGTAACTGCAATGAATAGGTGGTTTGCACTTCAGATTTCTTTAATACTTTGCTGACTGTTGCTTATGACATTAGTGAAATGTAATCAGGAGAGGATTGTGCTTTAATTAGCGTTGGGAATAAATGTTCCTCTGGTTTCAGAATACCAGATTATAAGAAAGTTTGACCTTAAAAGTTCAGGTCATATGAATGTGGATCTGTTTATCTTCTGCTTGTGTTATTGCAGATGGAATGAATATAAAATACTGCAGCATGTGTACTGTACCTCATATCTATCTTGTCATCTGATAGATGGATTAAAGGTACACTGCAGTCAAAATGAAGCATTGGGAGGGTGCATACATTCTACCTGTCATCCAGATTTTCATCCAGACATCACTGTAGTGTTCCAGCAAACCTCTCTGCCTTATGTTGGTAATCAAGGGATTCTTGATGCCGCTGCTGGTGTTGTTGTAACACCCATTTGTGCCTGTTACAGATTGCAGAAAGAAAAAACTCCAGGAAGTACACCCCTACTAGCCTTCTGATCACCTAGTAGTCACACAGTGAATTTTACAAGAAAAAAATTAAAGCTCAATTGAACCTAAACAAGTTTTGATTTCTTGCACCTGGAATGTGTTGAGCTGATTTAAATGGAAGGTTCAAGTGGTTGGAAAGGCTCAAGTTTTTTTACCTTCATGAATTCTATGCATGAAAGTAAACAACCTTTTTGTGTGCAGCAGTGCCCCCAGCCCTCCAATACTTAACTGAATCTCATCGTGATCCAGCGATGTGAACAACAGCCTCAGCTGTCCTGGGTCCTGCCTCTTCATTGGTTGAGACAGCAAGTGGGAGCCATTGGCTTCCGCTGCTGTCAACCACAGCTAATGAGGAGAGCGGGGGGCGGGGCCAAGTGAGTGCTCCGTATATGAATGGACACACAGAGCAGTATGTGCCCCCCTAGCAAGCTGCTTGCTGTGGAGGCACCCAACAGGAGGGAGGGGACAGGAGAGCCTGCGGGGGGACCAGAGAAGAGTCGGATCCAGGCTGCTCTGTGCAAAACAACTTCACACAGTAGGTAAGTATTGAGATGTTTGTTATTTTCCAAAAAAAAACGAATTAGAAACGCTTTAAGTTTGGCTTTAAGGCAAACTAAATGAACATTTTGATTTTTAATACAGTTGTAGTGTTTAATGGGTAACATTAGTAGCCCATTGCAAGCTTTCAAAGAAGAATTCCTCTTTAATCACTTCAACACCGGTCACTTTCACCCTCTTTTTGCCCAGGCCAATTTTCAGCTTTTAGAGCTGTCACGCTTTAAATGACAATTGCACGGTCATGCAACGCTGTACCCAAATTACATTTTTGTAATTTTTTCACACAAATAGAGCTTTCTTTTGGTGGTATTTAATCATCACTGGCTTTTTTTATTTTTTGCTAAATAAAAAAAAATTTTGAAAACATTTTTTTGTTTCAGTTATAAAATTTTGCAAATAATCTTTCTTCATAAATTTAGGCCACCCACATTTTAATCTGCTACATTTCTTTGGTGAAAATAACCCAAATCAATGTTTATTATTTAGTCTCTAGGTATGTATATATCTAAAAATCCATCATTTCTGATGTACTGACAGATGATCTCATTTCTTGAGGCCCAAAAATGCCAGGACAGTACAAATATGCCCCAAATGATGGCTTTTTGGAAAGTAGACAGTCCAATGTATTTAGTAAGAGTCATGGTGAGTTTGAAGTTATAATTTTTTGTCACTATTTTTTGAAAATGAAGAAATTTTTTTTGATTTTTTGTTTACATCCTGCCACTAGTGTAGTACAGTGTCATCATATAACTGTGTACAATTGTCATGTGATCTGCTGTGATTGGTCACAGTGATCACACGGCACCGGTATGGACACCTGGACACAGCAGGTGACAAATCTCGCTACATCATGGCCCATGGGGAGTGAGCAAAGCAAGTTCCGAAAGGCCGTCATTCAAAGTCCCCTGGAACGGTGAATGATCTACCCAGCTGTCATTTGATTTTGGATGAGCATAAACTGGTTAAAGTCAGTCTGTAGTGGCATATACTTACATAATCCAGTAATGTTATCACACAGCAGGCACTTGTTCTTGAACCTCTGGTCCTTTTCCAGTTTTAAAAAAAGAAAACAAGGTGCTAAGTTACTTCTTGGGTCATATGGATTTGATGTGGGACATCTCCACTCCTTCTGGTGGGAAGGCTTAGGAAACTGAAGGAGGTAGGACCAGGTGCTTGGCCCTTCTGGCCCTTGAAGTCTTAGAGCTTGCAGGCATTCCAGGTATTAGAGGTACTTAGACTGACAAAGGGCCTAACAAACATTTACCTGAAGGTTCCTGCTATGTAATAGATTAATCAGGTATATTTCTCTTCAAATACCTACTTTTGGATGAGGGTGGGATTCCCCAGTAGACTGTTTCCTGTACTTCTGCATGCTTTAACTTCATTGTTACAACCTTATTACGGCCCCCATTTTACACAAGACTTGAAATAAACTAATAATCTTAGAAATTGCCATATTACTACTGGAGCCTAAACTGCAACGATTTCTCTTACCATCAGTTTCAGCCTAGCAGAGAAAAAGTATTCTTTAAAATGAGAAACTGCAGCTATCACTAAATATTATGGAGGAATAACCTATTTATTAATATTTCCACCTGCACCTGACTATTTAAGGACATTGCGAATGTTTCTTTATAGAAAATGTTGTTGATTTTCTGAAACTGGGGTTAGATTTTGTGGCCAATTTAGATGCAAGCAATGTTTAGCAGAGTTCTACCTTGGGAAATAAAAAGTTATTAACATCAACAACTTAATAATTATTAAAATTAAGATTAACTAATTTTATACCATTACTGCACAACCTTTACTCATCTGTGGGACAGAGTTTACCCTGAGGGTATTCCGTACTAAACATAATTGCAGGAAATATTCAATATCTTTCTCTTTCCTTAATTTAATCATTTTAATGCTGAAAAAAAGTGTCTTAATGAAGTTAGTGTTCTGAATCTATATTTCTACACCTTGTAATTCAAAATGTAGGGAAAAAATAGTTATATAACTTATTTTCAATCTAATTAAATTAACTTTGTAACTTTAGTAAATTATATCATTTAGATAATTACAATCCTATTGGCAACATTGTGAGATGCGCTTTATAATATATTTTTTACAAAATATTTAGTAATTAGTTAGAACTTAAACAAAAAAACAAATAAACTGATTCCGTTCTATGGTTAAAGTGAAACTCTCTCAATCAACACTATTTCTAATCCTTCTTCTACTAGCATTAGTAAATAGGTAGGAAAGTATATCATATTTACTTGTTTTAAACTTTTTTAAAACATTTTTTCAGTTACTTCGTAGTTCCCAGGCCTTGGCAAATGATGCCATACATCAGGAGGGGCTTTCTCAGCTAAGCATACCCACCTCTCTGCATGCCCGCGCTAAGGACAGATGGATCCCAGGAAGTAAACGCTACATGAATTATCTGCCTTTATTCAAGATGGTCATGGCCAGAAAAGCTAGGGGTGTTTTTCCAAGTGATTTCTCAGCAAAGGTTCACCTTATTTACAAATAGTTACTTGCTAGGTAAAAAGTCTATGCCTCTGTAGTAAAACAATCACAACTAGAAAATCTACAATTTATGGGGAAATTGTGTGAAGTGTTCTTGCCTCCACCAGTAGTCTACAACTGGAGTGGGCAGAGTAGCTTTTGTCACTCTGCTGGCTGCTGACACACCTGGGTTCCTATGGCAACTCACTCTACAGCAAGGGCAGAGGAGCGGTTAAAAACAAACTGCTCCAAGTCGCTCACTTCACTGGCGGTTGCCATCTTCAAACAGTTGTAGTTTTAAAACTATAAATCCTACAGTGTGAGAATCACAAGACCCAGACCTACATTTGGATGCATAGTATGTCTCTGAAATATTAAAAATGAAGGCACAGTCGCACTTTAGAAATTGTCCTTCAAATTTCAGGTGTCTAGAGTGGAGTTTCAATGAATGTCAATGGGCGGCGTGAGTTGCAAACAAATGGTCATATTGTGAAAACTATCAGGACTACAGCTTAGCCATGGACATTTTTAGTGGCAGGAGGGATAGCTGAATGTTTTGATATAAGATATGTGTAGGTGGGCTAGAAAATAAGGGAGTGATGGCAGTTTAGAAATCATGTCCTGATTTTTCAGCTCACACTCTAGCTTTGGTCAGCTCCCACTCTAGTTTTGAACATTGCGCCATTCATTCCTATGGGACCAATTTCAGCACAAAAACAGCGATATTTCATGAACCATTCGGCAAAACGTTCCTCAAAGTAATAGCACACCAATCGGGAACAATCCGCACGTTTCTGCATATTACTGTCTATGTAGTGTAAAAACTGTGGGAGGAGTTAGGGTGGTAAATTTGGCTATAATAAGAATATATATGTGAGATAACAGTAAGTGGTCTTGCCATGCAAGAACACTAAATGACTCAAACAGATGTATGGAACAACACACAGCCAGATAAAAATTAAACAGTAACAGTAAAATTTATCAAAACATTAG